TTTCAGTTTCCAGGTATTCTATTGCTTCCTACTAGTCTGTTTGACAACACAATCAAATTAACATCTTTTTAAAAGTTTTACATATTGTTTTCCTTCCATTTAATTTTTAAAAGTGATTAAAAAGCACACATTTTTTTACTTGCAATTTAACATTGGTCATTAGGCCTAGCCTTAAGCACTAAGCTCTAGGCACTACATGCTAATATTGCCCAGGCACTAAGATCTGACAAACACACACATATATATACTTCACTATTATTATACTTTCTCAAAAATATAAAATTGCAATATTTTATATAAACAAAGTGTTTTTTAATTTGGGATATGGTATCAGCTTCAAATCATTTTTTTTTTTACAATCAGCAGTAACAAAATTGAGGATTTTGGGGGAAAGTAGTTTTCTATTTTTTGCCTATAAAGGGATAAAACAGGCATACTTTAGAATAAAGAGAATATTCTAGATTTGCATAACCAAGCAAATATTAACTGGACATAATTGAAAAGTTAACACAGCTTTTTAAATTATAAGCACCAATTACTCACCATATATCAAATATTTATTGTGGTGCTTATAATTTAAAAAGCTGTGCCAAAAGGGAAGGTAAGTCAGTGTCTTAGTTGGTTTTGGTGGCTACAACAAAAATACTGTAAGTTGGGTGGTTTATAAACAACAGAAATATATTTCTCACAATTTTGGAGGCTTGGAAGTCTAAAATTAGGGCTCTGGCTGATTGTGTGGCTCACAGATAGCCATCCTTTTACTATGTCCTCACATGGCAGAAGGGGAGAGGGGTCTCTCTTGCACCTTTTTTTAAGGGTACTAAATCCCATTCATGAGGGTTCCACCTTCATGACCTAATCACCTCCCAAAGCCCCCGCTTCCTAATATCACTTTGGGGGTTAGTATTTCAACATGTGAATTTTTAGAGAACAAAAATATTCAGTCCATAGAATGCAAGATTAGGAAGCCAGAAGCCATTACCATTTTTAGGCTAGTGGATAAACAAGACATTGCTAGAAATCAAGGGCTGGTGTCACAGGCAAAAGCTAGAATCCCAGTGGACATGATCAGGGCAAAAAAAAAGCTGTGAAAGAAATGCAGCAAGCATTAGGACCAAGGTAGGGGGCAGGGAAGAAATACCCTGGTTTTTCTCCTTTCCTCCCACTTTCCACTTTCCTGCTGATGTCTCCCACTGGGCAAATCTCAGCTGAAAATCAGCTGATTTCAAGGAACATTGGTGAATACAGCCTGAAAGGGTCAGTCCCCTTTAAAATACAGGGCAGAACAAAGGAGAAGGAATGGATATGAAAGCAAAAAGGACAAGGAGTAACACAGCAATCAATTATTTTTAACTTTGAAATCACTTTTATTGAGGTGTGATTTACATGTAATATACTTAATTAAAATGTACACTTTCAGGCCCTGGGTGGGTAGCACAGTTGGTTAGAGCATTGTCCCAATACACCAATGTTGTGAATTCGATCCCCATTCTTGGCACATACACCAGAATCAACTGATGAATATACAAATAAGTGGAAAAACAAATCAAAGTTTCTCTTTTTCTCTCTCCTTCTCCTTTCCTCTCTCTAAAAAAATCCATCAATAAAACAATTTTTAAACGTACACTTTGATAAATTTTGACAATACACTTATATAACTAACCACCCTGTCAAAATATAGAATATATTAGAATGTATCAACTCGTAAAATTCCCTCTTACTCTTTTGCCATGTATCCTCTACCCCACCTCAGTCCCAGTCAACCACTAATCTGCTTTTTGCCACTATAGTTTTTGCTTGTACTAGAATTTCATATAAGTGGAATCATAGAGTATGTATGTACTCTTTTGTGCCTGGATTTTTTTCTCAGCATGTTTTTGAGATTCATCCATGTTGTTGGGTTTATCATTAGTTCATTTTTAAAACTTGCTAAGCTGTATTCCATTGTATGAATATACCACAATTTGATGGACCTGTCCATTCACCTATTGACAGACATCTGGATTTTTTCTAAGTTTGAGCTATTATGAACAAAACTATTATGAACATTATGTACAAGTATTTTTGTGGTGTGTATATGTTTGGTGGGCATGTTTTCATTTCTTGTCGGTAAGTATCTGGGAGAGGAATTCCTGGGTCATATGATAAGAAACTGTCAAACATTATTCTTTTGAAACTTACAAATATCATCATTACCATAAATATCCATGAAAGGACATTGTTCATTTCCTCCAAAGAGCTTCAGGTTAGAGAAAGAACAATTCTTATGAGAAAAAATCTCAAAAAATTTAAATACCCTTGATAACATATGCTTTTCATAGCTCAATATTTTTTAATAGATAGTAAGAAAGGGAATGAGGGAAGTGTGAAAGGAGAGGAACTGTAAAATAAAGCAATGCAAAATAATGACTAAAAAGACTTCTTGACAATGGGAAAATCATCCTACACAGCTGTTCTGAGATCCCAGCACTGTTGTCAGCACCCTTCTTTCTAGAAGGCAAAGCTACTCTGTCAAATGGATGCACTAGGATGGATCTTTTGTGAAGTAGTATCTTTATTAATATAAGCAAACACACCTCTCATTTATTATAATATAGAGGTGTGGGCTTTTTCTTTTATTCTTAGTAGTAATGTTTTCCCAACATATAACACTTCCCTTTAACATGTGGGTTGAGTCATAAATTAATGTCACAAATGTCACCTCAATGAGGAAGGCAATCACATTACAAAGTAGGAAGATGTAGTTTGATGTGAATTGTTACCGTTGAAAGCTATGTACTCTTGAACTAAATGTCATCATGTCAAATTCTGAGACGTTGAATAGTTGTTGCAATATAAAATTGTGGACATTTAAGCTTTTAGTCTTTTTAAAAAAGATTTTATTTATTTATTTTTAGAGACAGGGGAAGGGTGGGAGAGAGGGAGAGGACTATCAGTTGGTTGCTCCCAACTGAGGACCTGGCCCACAACCCAGGCATGTGCTCTGACCTGGAATTGAACCAGAGAACTTTTGGTTTGTGGGATGATGCCCAACCCACTGAGCCACACTAGCCAGGGATAAGTTTGCAGTCTTAAAAGTTTTGTCAGTTTTTTCTAGACATTCTGAAATGGAAATGAACAGGTGGATTGAAAACAATCACAAATGTGGAGTTTAAAGACTTTCTTGGCATCTCAGAGGAGTTGCTCTAGACTAGTGGATATTTTAAACAAAACACATATAAATACATTTAGCTTGTCTGGAAACAGACTTATTTATTGGGTCTTTCCATTTACCTTAGAGACAAAAATAAATAGTTATAGAGGACTCATGCATTACTCACTATAAAGTTTCTATCACGCATTATTTAATCTCAAACTGGGAGAGAGAATGAACGTTTATTTTACATGATGCCATAATGTACATTAGTGAGCTCAACCCACTTAATCTTAAAATAACAGTATCAGGTCAGGGATTTAGAATACAGTATTATATGAAAACAGTTGGCAAGGGAGACTCCTTCTTCTGCCATTAATAACTGACTATAAATAGTATTTCAGACCTTAAATCCAACTGAAACCCAGAAACAATAAATGGAGAGGATGGGTGGATAATTTGTGACCATGTTTTTCTTTTTTCTTTTTGATATGGAGGTGAACATGTTTTTCAACGAAAAAGAGTCACTATATTGTTGCGAATTATATGTTACATGGACAAGGCAGCGTGCAGTAAGGATGCTATCATCTGTACAGCTGTATAACAACACAGCTTCTCCCTCTCCCAAACCCTCATTCAGTAAGGCTTGAAAATAATAGGTTTGTGTGTAGTTTGGTAAGAAAATTAGAATCATTTAAAGTTTCAGTTTCAATCTAAGAAAGAAAAGAGACTGGAGAGATGAGAAAGAAGAGCAAACAAAATGTAGAAAAATACATATGTGATAAAGTATAATGTGTATTATGCAGAGACTAAAGAGGGGTGTGCTGGAACACTAATGGCTTTGTAGTGAAAAGATCAGGATTTGTTCCTTGTTGCATCATGGTGTGTGACCTTGAGCAAAGTCACAATGTCTTTAAGGCTCAGTTTCCTCATCTATAAAGTGGAATCATAATGGCAATGTCTTCTACCTTGAGGTGCTATTGTAAGGATTACAAGGGTGAAAAACAACTTGTACACTATAAAGCCCTATAAAAATAAGGCTCCATAGATATATTGCACTGTTGAATCTTCAGAAAGGAGGACAAAGGGGGAAAAGTCTAGAAGGCTTTGGAGTCTGACAACCTGGATTCTTATTCCAATGTCATGGCTAGTAGCTTTGACGCCTCCAAGCGAGTACTTAATCCTGTTTTCTTCTTTTTGATAAATGAAGACAAGACCACTTTTTTCACAGAATCAAATGAGAAAAAGTATGCAAAGAGACCTACCGTTTGGTATGTGTTTCATGCCCTCCACTGCCCCAAAATACTTATTAAAGGAATGTCATCAACAAAGGTGTTCACACTGTAGCGTCTTTCTTTTTTTTTTTAATTTTTAAATTTTAATCTTTGTTCAAGTACAGTTTTCTCCCTTTTACTCCCATTCCAGCTGTAGCGTCTTTCAACAGATAAAGACGCTAGGGCAAAGCAGAAACAGATAAAGAAAACTGAGATAGATCCAACTAAAGTGGGAACCAACATTTAGACTTGGAATTGTCTTAGTTCACCTTATCCACTTGGAGCTAGGGTATCCATACAATAAAGCATTCAGAGGTGGAGAGCAGGCGGCGACTCAAGTGTCCTTTCGACTCCGGGAGTTCGACGTGAGGGACCCTGAAATTCTTAATTGGAGCCGGTTACCATGGCGACAGTCTCTAGGCAGCATCGGCTGAGCTCTCTGTAGGGCTAGAGGGTGGGCCTCCGCCGGACCCTGAGCGCGCTCCCGCCACCAACTTTCCCTCCAGATCCGAGGAGGCGCGCTCCGCCCCCGCCCCTGGGCCGCGCACGTCCGCACTCGGCGGCGCGCACGTCTGCGGGAGCCCTCTCCAGGCAACCTAGTGCTGATCGCTCGTGGCGGTGCGGTGGTTCACCGCCCTCGTGGGAACCCGAGGCTCGAGAGTAGCCCCCCTCCCTTTCCTGGGCTTCCCCCTTGCCACTTCCCGGTCGGCCCCGGGGCTTGAGCAGCGATGGCCGGCTGCATCCCTGAGGAGAAAACTTACCGGCGCTTCCTGGAGCTATTCCTGGGCGAGTTTCGCGGACCCTGCGGCGGCGGCGAGCCGGAGCCGGAGCCGGAACCCGAACCCGAACCCGAGTCGGAGCCTGAGCCCGAACTGATAGCGGCTGAGGCAGCCGAGGCTTCTTCGGTCGAAGAGCCTGGGGAAGAGGAGGCGGCCACGGTAGCCGCGACGGAGGAGGAGGAGCAAGAGCAGGACCGAGACCCCGAGCCCGAGGAGGAGGCTGTGGAGGAGGAGGAGGAGGAGGCGGCGGCGGCGGCGGAGGGCGAGGAGGACGAGGCTGAGGCAGCCCCGGGGCAGTCGGCCGTGCCGCCGCCGCCGCAGCCCCAGCTGCCGCCGCTGCCCCCGCTCCCGCGGCCGCTGTCGGAACGCATCACCCGGGAGGAGGTGGAGGGCGAGAGCCTGGACCTGTGCCTGCAGCAGCTCTACAAATAGTTAAGTAGCGGGGCTCGGCTGGGGGTGGGCCCGCTGTCCCTGCCGCGTCGGCCCCTCAAACTGCTGTTTCTACGCTCCTCACCGGCGCCTGGCGCCGCTGAAAGCGCCCCCGCTGGCTCAGACTCGGGCGGTCGGTGGCGAGCTGCCCACGCCTGCCCCGGCCCCCGCGCCTCCTGCCCTGCCGGGAGGCGATCCCCGGGCCCCGGCTCCCTCCCGCCGGGCCGGACCCCTTCTTCCCTTTCACCTCGGCCGCCCACTTCTTTCTCCACTTCACAAACCTTTTACCCTTCGTGCCTCGGAAGGTCCTTCCTTCCAATTTTGAGAGCTCTTTCTTGTTCCCAGCTCCCTTCCTCCCGGAGCTTTTCTCCTGCCGGGGTCTTTCCCCCCTGGTCTGAGTGCTTGTTGTTTGGCGGCGGAGACGCGCGATCCGGTTCTAGGCTGAGCTGAGAGGTGAATCCTGTGTAACCGCAACCACAATGATGATACCGGCCCCATAGCCACAGGAGGAGAGACAGGAGTCGATTTTTCCGTCGGGCGCTCAGTGCTCAAAGTGAAGAGCTCTTTAGGTGGCTTAATACACGGGAGCCTAATATCCTGGTTTAAAGATATTTGATAACTCATAATTGAGGGAGGTGGGAAGGAAGTGGGAGGTAGGGGTAAGCAAAATTTTACAAGCGAGCCTTCAGGCGCAAGACCCCTGAGAATCAAGCCCTAATTCATTCAAGTAGAAAAGTGAGGCCGGTTTAATAAAATTGCAATTAGGTGCAGTATTTTCAGTCCATTAAGTAGATGGGGTAGGGGAGAGAAAGCAGATGGCCTAGCCACACAGATGAAAGTCGAAAATAGAAAGGTCAAGGCTTTGCTTTTCATCCCAGTTCTGGTTTTTTATGGGCTTGAAATAGAAGTGGTTTACAATTGCATCTCCTCTTTTTAAATGGAATTGTTCTGAAATAATGACAGAAGAAAATACTAACAAGTTTCTGGGAACATTGGTAAACCTGGCAGTCTTCTGCCGTTTGGCTGATAGTTGTAAGGAAAGGTGTTATGCTGGCCCTCCAAAAGTTTATTGCTGCAAGTGTCACTGCAGTTAAATTCAAACTCACTTCCAGGATTTCCTTAAAAGACTAAGTTAAGAGGATGGCTAGGAAAGTAAATGTTTTCTCTTTATCCAGCCTGACAGACACCTGATCAAATACTTTCCCTGTTAAAGCAGAAGTTTATCAATAGGGAAAAAGCATTTAACATACCCGCTGAAGAAGTGAAATGTGTTGATGTTCCACGCTTTATAAACTGTTTTAAATTTAATTTTGAAATAATTGATTACCAAAGTAGTAATAATGCTTTTTGGCCAGTGGAAAAAAAATGACGTGTAATACCACTACCCAGAGACAAACAGTATTGACATTTTAAAGTCTTCCTAGTGTTTGTAAACTATAATGGAATGTCATTTATGAAATGACAGACTTATGAAATGTCATTTTTAACACTATTTAAAGACACTTAAAACTTTTTACTACAAAACAAAATTAAAATGTTTACTAAAGTGGAAGAATTTATCTCAGCATCAGACTAATTCTATTTTGACAGTCCTTACCTTTACAAATGCTGTTATAGAGTGAAAAGGTGTATTTAAACATTAGAGAAGGTCCATTAGGAGAGTCATTAGTTCAGAACAACTATAAACAATTGTCATTCAAGGTTTTTAAAAGAATGAACTGTATGTGAAGGGGATGGCAAGTAGATGTATTTCCATGTCAAAGGGCAGCAAGATTAATTTTGATATATGTATAAACTAGGAAAAGTATTCAAATGATGAAATAGCTATGTAATTGAGAATAAAGTCTGGATTTGAAGTACAATTAGCGAAAGTAAAGTTGGAAAATATTATTTCACTTTAAATCAGAGATTTCATCATTTATACTGTTTTTTGCAAAGGCTATTAGCCTGTTCTTACTCATATATAAAATGGCTGGCTTGTTTATGTAAACTTCAAGGATTCTTAACAGATAAACCCAAAACCAAACCAAACCACTTAGAGTTTAAAAAATACACTTTTAACACTTTTTTATTTATGAAAGGAAATCATATCACTTAGTTACAAGAATCAGTACTGGAAGACATTGTAGGGATAGATAATTTTCTATTCAAGCACTTTATTTTACAGATGAGAAAACTATGGATCCAGATTCAGAAATGGTTCCAACATTTCTCAATATAATTTGTGAACCTCAAAACTCTCCCTGACATATTGAAATGTTTGATTTTCAGATTTCCTAAGAAATACTTTAAAATAACTCTGAATAGGAATATGCTGGAATTGCTTATTTGGGGAAGGTAAAGGTTGTTTTTCAAAAAATTTTCTCAACTACCTACCCACTCTGTTTATTTTGGGGAATTCTTAATATTCTTTAAAAACTGTCCTGCTTGTCAAATGGTGCTAAAGTTCTTAAGTGAAGTTACCTGAACTATATATTCACCAAGTTGATAGTTGGGATTAATGTAAGAAGAAATTAATGCTATGTGTAATGCCAGTTTCATAAGTCTAGTGTGTTTTTTCTGTCAGTATTTTAGAAATGCACAATATGTAACCACTGAATGGACTGAGGTTCTCTGAAGAAAAAATAAAGGTGCTTATTTTCTCAATAGTGTTTTATGAATACACTGGTTGCAAATTTACTTTCAAAAGAATATAGTAAATTTTTTTTCAACATTTTGCTTCTCAGAAGTTTAGAATAAGAACAGCAGATACATTTTTTATCATTCTTCATTTTGGTAAATTCAAAGATCAGGACTAGATTGAGATAAGCAGTTACTTAGGTAAGTAAAGGATCAAGGTTTAAACTGACAAAATAAAGTTATAATTAAGTTTAAAGAGTTTTTTAGAGAAGTATTTGGGATAAAGTTTTTGGTTTAGTCTTCAAAATGGGAAATATGTACTTAGATCTTCCTCTGCTGGATAACAACATTTAACATTTTGAAAGAAAAATAATTAAATATATTCTAATGATGTAATCTTAGGATTTCTAAAATCAGGGAGCCAATCTCCTTGAAAAGGAGGTGGTGAGATATTTTATATCTTTAAAATAATTTGCAACTAAAAAATTTATAACTGATCTTATACCAGATGTGAATGTTGAGGCTACTTGTATAGATTATTACATGGGTCAGTATTGTGTATTTTATATCTCTGAACTATACTGAGGATAAATTTTATTTATTTTAATCCTAAAGAAACAAATAATCTCAAGTTTTTACTAGTGTTATGTGTCATTACATTTTTAGAGCAGTGTTTCCTCAGTTATGCATTTGTCTGGGTTGGGTTTCTCAACGGGGGAGAGAGAGACCTCAACAGCCTGGCAAAGTTAAATAGTTCCAGAGGGTTTACAGTAGTAATGAGGGTGGGTGTTTAAAAAAGGCTTGGGAGAGAAAATCTTTGATTAGAGACACTAATAATTCAGATATTTGAGCTATGTGAATCATTAATGACTTTTGAGATAGGTCAGAAAACCATTGAACTGTGTCTCACTTTTATATATATAAATTGGAAAATACATGGATGCAAGTTATAATATTCATTTAAAACTACACCATTTTTCATATAATGTTCATTATAAGAAGTGGAGAAAATGACATTAGCAAAAAAGAAAAAAGTAAATACCAACCATTCAATGTTAACTGTGCTTTTCAGGTTTTTCTCCTACCTCTCAGGCTGCCACTTACTCTCTGAGTTTTTGATACACTGCCTGTTCCTTTAATATTGGTGTTTGGTCCTTGACCATTCAAATCTGGTTGACTTGTCTGTAGTCAATATCAATCTGTCCCTTGACTTTAGTAATTGTAGTTATGCTAATGGCTCCTGATTCTAAAGAATCCCTGTTTTGACAGCTAATGGAACAACTAACTCTACCTAGGTGTCTAAAATGGTTCTCAAATTAAACTATACAAAATAAAACTTTAAAAGATGTTATTAATTTATTTTTAGAGAGAGGAGAAGGGAGGAAGAAAGAGGGAGAGGAACACTGATGTGTGAGAGATACATTGATTTGTTCATATCCATCAGTTGCCTCTCACGTGTCCCCAACTGGGGATCTGACCAGCCACCCGGGCATATGCCCTGACCAGGAATCGAACCTGTGACCTTTTGGTTCAGAGGCCATCGTTCAACCCCCTGAGCCGCACCAGCCAGGGCTAAACTGTCCGAAATTGAGTTCAGTCTTCCAACTCCCTCTATCACCCAAACAAACAAAACTAAAACCTGGTTCTCTTTCTGGTGGGTCCATCCCTGACTTCTCCTCCTGTCACTCCTCACATTCAGTTAATTTTGCATTGTAAATCTCATAAATATGTCCCTCTCCAGTCCCACTGTCCTTTTCATCTCTTGCTAGTCTTAACTCTTCTATGACATATTCTCCCCAGTGTAGCCAATGTGATCTTTCTAGAATCTAGATTATGTACCTTGTCTAATTGTATAACTGATACGTTTTTACTGTTTACCTGAAGTTAGCCAAACTTCAAAGTTAAAGACACAGTCTCTCAGACTGCCAAGTCTTCCCAAGACTTCTGACTTCAACTCCAAGGGGTTAGGGTCTTACTACAAAGCTACAGGTAAGAGTCTGTACATGACCACCTTCACTTCTGATGCCATCCAAGAGTTTGGGGGTTTCTTAAAACCACCTTCAGTTTTGGTAATTCATTAGAAAGACTCAGAACTCACTGAAAGCAGTTATACTAATAGATAAGAGTCATTATAGGGAAAATATACAAATTAGAACCAGCCTAAGGAAGAGATGCATGGGATGCAATCTATGAGGTCTCATATGTGAAGCTTCTATTTTACTCAAGGGACATGTTATCCTCTGAGGATCAGTGGTGTAGCATTGCCAGCCAAGGCAGCTCACATGAGCTTGAGTATCCAGAGTTTTCATTGTGACTTGAGTGAGTGCCCATATAGTTGAACTTAATTTTCAGTTTGCCCACTTCCGCTAAGTGAGATGCCACA